CGACGAGCGTTCTTGCTGCAACTGCCGCGCCGCTCACGACTGCCCCGCACGCCACCTTCCCCTGGTCAAGAAACCTAGCGCGCGGTAGAACGGGCTCATGAAGCAGGAATCAGTTTCATGAAACTCAGTTTGTGAAACAGTTTTGACGACATGGAAACATTGCGGCGAGGAATGAAATGTGGCAACCATGTTTAGTCGCTATCCTTCTCTTTTAGCTTGCTTTCTCTCTTCCGTTACATTTTTACCGATACCCGTGATCACAGAAACATATGCGTGTGCCACCTGCCGGTCGAAAATATTTCTAATTTGGTTTGTCTAATGTCCGTTCGCACAACTGCAGCGCGACGATCCGTTACGGCCCTCTTATCGCGATTATCGCGGCCGTTTAGGTATCCAGATCAAAGGTAAACGGTGCGAGTGGGGCGAATAAAGCGACCAGACCTTGCTGCAATCGGAAGTTATTTTCATCCTATTTCAGGTACATGGAACAATAACGTTATCGCTCTGCACAGTAATTATTGACGTGCGCGGCACCGCTTTACAATGCTTTCTATCATTTATTGAAATCGTTATCTCCCGATCAGTCAGTCGTTCTCTTAACGAGTGTATCTTCTTCCTTTAATTGCTTACACGCTGAGATACAGTGACTTTCAATAATGTTTAAACATTCTTTTATCTTTTTTTATTTTTGTTTTTTAGGTAGAAGAACATTTCTAGGCTTGTACCGAACTAATTGAATTTTTCTGACAACACTGTAAGAGTTAATTTTCTGGATAACGAATCAAGGACATCTTAGAAAATCGCTGGTGGTCGTTTTTATCAGGCATTTTTATTCTTTTTTTATTTTTATTATGCCGCGCCATTTATGCGGACAGTAATTTTTAGCAGCTCGTTTTAGCAGCTCGTTCAATTCTCATTGGCATTGGTCAGATAAATTTCTTAAATTTAATCTAATATCGATACGAGTCACCGTGTTTGCGAAACAAATCTGAAACGAATATGTACAGTGGTCCCAAAAGTGTTCGTACCCCTTTTAAAACGTAACAATTTTTTAAAAACCGAATTAAATAACTTCAATCTCTTTTTTTAGATGACAAAGATTATCTAAAGTATACTAGACGATGGCTAAAAAGCTATTTTATTTTTACTTTGCTATTGGAATGAAAAGAATAAAATTAAAATGTCACGTTTCTTAACTTTTTTATTCCATAGCGAAAATTTAAAAAACACCTTTCGTAGATCTCGGTAACTTATATGAATGCTGAAAATTTGATCGAAATCGGTTAACCCAGAGTCGGGCTACAGGCGTTGATGAAAATATTTATATTTCTAATATAGGAATATACTAATTCGCGCACCCTAATTTTGCTCACAAAAATGAACAATTTGAGAAGAGGATTATTCGAACCTCGCGGCTCGTTTTTACAGTCGCCGATTGTCTCAACAACCATAAAAACGAGCCGCTAGGATTGAATAATCGTCCATTATCGTCCAAATTGTCCATTTTTGTGTGCAATCTTAGCGCGAATCGGGGAGAAATTACTATAGTTACACGGTCGACGCTTTGGCCACCTCTGCTCTATTGTATAGTATTACAGAACTGACATTAAAAATGCGTCATTATTTTGGCACTATCTTCTCATTTAAATGATTTCTGCATCAGTTTTTGATTGCTACTACATCGCGTCTATATTTGCGCTGAGTAAAAGTCCATATACAGTAATATCTCCCTAACTGACGCTCAGATTGCACACAAAAATAGACAATTTGGAAAGAGGAGATACGATTATTCGAGCCTTGTAGCTCGTTTTTTATGGTTGTTGATAATTCGTAACTATAAAAACGAGCTGCGAGACTCAAATAATCGTATCTCCTCTTCCCAAATTCTCTTTTTTTGTGGACAATCTGAACGTCAATTAGGGAGACTTTACTGTATTTTGTGTCACGACGAGTATACAGTAATGTCACCTTAATTGACGCTCGGATTGCGCACAAAAATGGACAATTTTGGAAGAGGAGATACGATTATTCGAGCCTCGTAGCTCGTTTTTTATAGTTGTTGACAATTCGGAACTGTGATTGACGGGAATCGCAACACATACTGAACATATTCTATGCGTATGATATGCGATACAANCAAAAATGGACAATTTTGGAAGAGGAGATACGATTATTCGAGCCTCGTAGCTCGTTTTTTATAGTTGTTGACAATTCGGAACTGTGATTGACGGGAATCGCAACACATACTGAACATATTCTATGCGTATGATATGCGATACAAATAACTGGAGTGCGGAAAATCAACTGGAAGATTGGTTGGTAGGAAATTAGAGATTACCGTGAATGAGTTGACTTCAGGTACTAGGGTATTCGAGGAGGCAAAATTCGTAGAATCAATGCAGTCAGCAGAGTTCAGAGTGCAATTACCGTATTTATTTAATTACAAATGTAGTTTAACCCTTTCCGTACGAGCACCAGATATATCCGGCACCCATCTGATGACCGGTATGGACGAGTGCCGAATACATACATCTGGCATCCATGCGAATCATATTTATGACGTATTATAAATTATTCTAATAACCGTCTGAGTTCCAAGCAGTGCGATCGCGCTGTTCAGATCTTGTGTCTTCGATTAAACTTTAGTGACGCACGTACATCGCATAGCTGCTTTGTTTCATTCTTTTTCTTTTTTGTTTTGTTTGTCAATGTTGACGGACGCTATGTCAATTAAGACAAGCGCGCTATCACGCTGTTCAGCATTTTTCTGTATTATTATTATTATTATTATTATTACTATTATTTTCTAATAATCCTATATTTTCTGAATAATCCCTAGGACTGAAACGGATAAAGTCTTTTCTTATATATTGAAGGCCCTTTACAGAATGTTTACAGGATACAAAAGATTTAGAAACGGATTAAGCACAGTTATTACTTAAAGCTTATGAAAATTTTCGTACAAAAGTGGACTGAGAGAGAGACCCTGTGCTGTGCGCGCATTTTCGTCGCAGCACCCTGTATAGTGGTAGTGTCACGGCGGACAGCGCGCTCGTACCGAAATAGTTAAATAAATATGTATACAGGAGCCGATGATATAGTAGAGATCAGCATCACACGTGAATAGCGTACAGAACATTCGGCTTACAGTTTTCCTCAATAAAATACAACTCTGAGACCAAGAATCGGTCAATGCGCGAAGGAATGCTAGTTACAAATATTCACTCGTTGATCATTTTCTCAGTGGACACGGCTCTGACACGTATTTCTTGAAACTCCTATGGATTTTCTTCAAATGATCTCGACACCGATCTCTGGTGTCCTTTAGAACAGCTAACGATGCAAGGCTCGACTCACTATTTATAGCTTCAACGAGACTCTCCAGAAGAGCCCTATCTATTTCAGTAACACCGTCCAATTCCTCTGCCATATTTTTCACTGCCTGGATGCGGGCTTTTAATACTTCTAGCGGTGGTTCCTTCCCCAATTCACTAAAAATAAAAATTCGTACGAATACGATTATTTATGTGTGTGACGAATTTCCACAGATAAATCCTCCGATCGAATAAATTAAAAGAAACTGTAGAAAGAAAATAGATTTTTCATTCGCAGGAAAACTGGTTTACCGACCGAGCCGCGCGACCGGCCGCCGGTTACACCTAAGAATAACAAGTTATCACGGACAAATGCTGATCTAGAGGTCACATAATTTTTAGCGGTATAAATTTCTATGCTTTTCGAAGTTTTCACTTACTCTATAAACCCGCAGCAGGTCTCGTATAAGTTCAAGCATTCAATCTCGTTCTTTAAATCTCGTTTCTCCAAGTACTTTGTGAAAATTTGTTTGCCTCGCGGATGGGACAGAGTTCTTTGTATATTATCTGTGATGCGATCTAATTCTTTGCGGCTCAGACCGGAAGTACACTTTCCGATGCAACCGATTGCTTCTGTAGTTAAGGTCTGCATACTTCATAGCGTCTGGAAAAAAACAGCCCATTAAAAAGATCCCGTTCGCTGATTTCCCACGACAATGCTCTTGCCGGCTTAATAATCGTAAAAGTGGCACGTTAAAACGTCACGAAGATGGGAACATATATACCATTATGTGCAATGAAATAGCTGTTTAAAAAAATAAGCGTCGTTAAGTAAAACTATCCAACCAAACCTAATTACGCAAATCCCTTTAATTTAATTGATTCACTGCAATTCCAAAGTAAAAGTTTATTTTCGTGGAGGATATGTTTGACCGTACATAATAATAGTTTTCATACATACCATAGGTTACGGATGCGTACGTACTGCTATAGAACGCGAACAATTTAACAATATAACTGCAACAATTATCAGACGATAACTAATAGCGGTTTTTTTGTTTACAGACAATGGCACCGTTGAAATGGCACCGCTCGGAACAAAGGTTTATTGATCTAAACCCTCATTCACCTGAATTCACAATGGCTTCTTGCACTCTACTTATCTCGTCTCTGGTGACTGAGTCAACTTTCGTCGGACAAAACTTCGACACATATTCTTATATAACCATCCAAATGTAGATCAACTGTACGGTTCGTTATTATCAAACGATACCGTAAGATTTACAAAACGTAACTCTGTACTTCGTATTTAGTGTAGATTTTATTTACCCCACCCGGTACCTGAGGGATACTTTGTATATCAATAAATATGATGTAATCGACAAACTAAGTTCTATTTAAATAGATCGTCGATCGATTTAAATAGAACTTAGTTTGTCGATTACAAGAAAGAAAATTGCAGTGAAGGGTTAAATAAGCAGCAAAAAATAAAGCGCCTTTCAGTCGATACCTGATAGAATTCTTCAATAATTCACCCCTAAAAAAGATTCCGTAGCAATGATTCACTGAAAAGATGATCGTTGTCCAATGCCACGAAGATTGAAGTACACCACTTTGTTGTCAAACCACAAGGATCCTGTTAGAATCATACTGTCAACTGTCTAATTGAAAACGTTATCTTTACACAGATTAACGAACCCACCCTGCAACGCTTCTGTACAGCGCGTGCGATGCTACACAGCGACCAACTGACAGGAATCGCAACACCATACCGAACATATTCTATGGATATGTATATTCGCTTACTCTACAATACCGTGAGCGCTGGTTTCGCGTGAGCGAGTTTCCCCCTTTCCCTGAAACCTTTACATACTTAAAATAAACTTTTCCGTGAATTTCTTCGATTCTCCAACCGCGTCCCTCTGTTCTCAATTGAAATATTGATTAACCATTGAACATTCAATTATTTCTATGAACGCTACATTTTCGGATATACGTGTATAAAATGTGAACGTACCGTTGTCTAAGCTACTTTTATTTCGCATGCGACCTGTACTCCGTAAATGGTAATTGTTATTCGAAGCACATTGGATGAAGTAACTGCACGCCATTCAGAATGCGAAGAACATTCGCGAGGAACGTACTGAAAATAGTTTATCCAGCCATAAATGCAAGAACACAAGAAAAACGCGACATCCATATGTAGGCTTTTCTTCTGATATGTAGATTACCGATTATGTAAAATATAACTACGGCGTTATGTGCAAGGAAAAATATTTAGCCATCAACGTAAATATTATTTGAAGGAGTACATATTATTTGAAAGAGTACATTTTTCTTTTATTGTCGATCATCCCAATTGAAACGATTTGATAGCAATTATTGCATGTAAATATTTCGAATTAAACGTGTGTGCGTATGGCATCATTTATAATTGCCGCCACAAAATGCGCGGGAAACTGTAAGTGTAATAGAATTGAGAATGGGTTTATGATGACAGAGATTGAGATTCGGTTAAATAACAATATTTAACTGTTTTATGTATTCTTATTTTTATATATTTGGTAATTAATTGTAATTATGGATTCTGAATTTCTTGATCCTGTTGAAGAATTTGATTTGGCACATGAAGATGAATACGAACTTTTAAGAGAAATAGAAGGTAGGCGAAGTATAACCTTGATGTCAAAATTGAATTTAAAATGATGTGCTTAACTTTCTGTATTATTAATAGATTATAAATATTTTATTCGAAATGATGTATTGTCTTTTACATATTTTCATTTTTATAGTAATATTTCTTTCTCTTTTTATTTTATTTAATGTCACAATATGTGACATTAAATAATTGTCACAATATGTAAACAAAAAAATTTGAATATGTCAGTTTATTAACATTTTATTTTAATTACAATATTTTAGAACTTGAAAGGAAAAAAGAGGAGATATCACAAAGAACAGGAAATTTATCTCAGGTACCTAAGGAGAAAGATGAATCCAATATCGTAACACCTAATATATATAAAGAACTAAATACTCCTACACATGATGTCCATAAAGAATTAAATACGCCAAGAAATAACATACATAATGATCTCTGTACTCCTGGTACTAGCAAAGGATTTGACCGTTTCACTAATATTGAATCAAATGGCACAAATAAACGGAATTATGATGACTTATTTGGGGACATTTCTGATATAATAGATCTGAACGATTATGGTAATTACTATAATACTAATATATGTCAGATCATTTTCTTTAAATTAATTTTATTATTAATCGCTATAGTTGATATCAATGGACCTAGAGAAAAGAAACCACGATGGGATCAGCCTAAAGATATAATAGAAGCAGTACTAAATGCCAGAGAAAAATTCCTTGAGCATGGTACAGGAATAACTATTAAAAGAAAACATTTTGAAGAGTATGTAAAATGCAAGAGATAGTTTGTTCCCTAAATTAATTTATTAATTTGCTGATTCTATTTAGGAAAAAGGACACAATATCTTTAAGAGTTCCACGTTGGAACTTCGTAGCTCTAACTAGACCACATGATGCACAACGTATATATATCAGGGTAAAGAATGATACAGAACCTATTGTAAAGAAAAGTGGACATACATTTTCCAATCTATTATCTATACCTTATAGTCAATTAAAGGCTGAAGCTGAAGAAATTGTAAGTAGATTTAATGTGTGGAATAATATAATTTTATGTGTATATGTATTATAAAGTTTTGCTATAATTTTACAGATGGTACAGAATGCGAAACGAGTTAGTTGCAACAGTACGAGTATTTCCACCACAAATGATATGCAGGACAATGAGTTGTGGGTCGATAAGTACAGACCAAAATCTTATAAAGAATTGCTTTCAGACGAAAGCGTGAATAGACAATTATTGCACTGGATAAAACTTTGGGATAAAGTGGTATTTAATCGAAATTATGTTGCATATAAAAGGAAAAATCAACATTCAATGTTTAGAAACAAGAAATTCACCAATGAAAACAATTTTGAAGAAGTAGACAGCAAAGGATTTCCAATTCAAAGAACAGTTTTGTTAACTGGACCACCCGGATTAGGAAAAACCACATTAGCTCATTTAGCAGCTAAACATGCTGGCTACAATGTGGTAGAAATTAATGCTAGCGATGAAAGAAGTCCTGATGCTTTTAGGTGAATTTGCGAAATATTGAAAAAGAATGATAACATTACTAATTTATACTTTTAACTGCAGACAAGTCCTCCTTTCATCAACGCAAATGAAAGCTGTAATGGGAAGAGAGCCACGACCAAATTGTTTAGTTCTAGATGAAATTGATGGGGCACCAGCAGCCTCAATCGAGCTCTTGCTAAAATTTGTGCAAGGTAAATTAGTTCAGAAAGGTAGAAAGGACAAAGAGAAAGGTGATAAGCCTTCAACTGCTTGTCACCGGCCCGTAATATGCATTTGTAACGATCTATATACTCCTTCATTAAGGTGATCTTTCTTGATTAATTAATATATAAAGGGGCATACATCAAAGAACAGAAATACATGCAAAAATTATGTACAACAGACCCCTTAGAGCAGCTGCGCTTATTATACCAGTACCGGAAGTCAGTCCTGCAAGGCTAGCTGATCGATTGATGGAAGTATCGCGAAAAGAAGAACTAGAAGTCAATTCGGATGCACTTTTAAAATTAGCAGAAATATCTGGTTGCGATGTCAGATCATGTTTGGGAGCACTGCAGTACATGGGCGGTGCTAAGTTGGGAGATAACTTGTCATTTGCATTGAAAGACACCAGGAAAGGATTATTCGATTCGTGGAAGCAAATACTAGCAATACCTGTGAACAGGCTTGGAATATTGTCTATTCCAGAGAGAGTTCGTCTTGTATTGAAAACTGTACAATATGGTAGGTCTTTCTATCTAATTGATAGATATATCTCATTAACAATTTATGTCCTGTTTCAGGGGAGACGGAAAAATTAGCACAGGGCGTATTTCACAACTATCCAGAAATCTGTTGTGACAAGTTGAACTATGTAGCCCTGTGCTTACAGTGGTTTCAGTTCTTTGATGAGATAATATCTCTAGTTGCAAACGCACAAGTCTGGTCTGTTATGCCATATACAAATTACGCGTTCATCATGTGGCATTTATATTTTGCCAAATCCAGAAGCGTTAAATTATCTTATCCTTCTGTACAATACGAAGTAAGAACTCAAAACGGTCAATAGAACATCTATATGAGATTTGTAAATCTAATCTGTGAATTGCAGATGCGTCAAAAGGAAACGAAAAGTTTAGGAATTCTAACAGCAGTTTACAGAAGTAGCGGACGTGATATCGTAACATTGGCAGTCGATATAGCTCCCTTTCTACCGGATCTACTATGTCCACGATTGCGAACAGTTTCTGGACATTTGCATTCAGCCAAAGAACGAGAAGATATTGCTCGTTTGGTAAATGTTCTGCTCGAATTTGGTTTAACATTCACACAAGAAAAAACGCTTGAAGGGACCTATGATTATACACTAGATCCGTAAGTTAGCAAATTGCTATAAAACCTCGCTTAAAGTACTTTAATTCCATTTTCTTTCAGAAATATATTTGAAGTTGGTATTTTCTCCGAGTGTAAATATCGTCGAACTCTTGCATATGCGGTGAAACAAATAATTGTTCAAGAGCTGGAAGCTGAACGCGTTCGCCGCGCGTCAAATGCATTGCACAAAACAAATATTCCAACAAAGGCAACAGAATCAGAAACAAATACAAAGAAACAAAACAAAATTCCAGAGGCATCTACTTTTGAAGAAAAATTGAAAAAAATTAGAACAGAAATGAAAGAAACTGTAAATTTAATATGTACAATTTTTATACTTGTTAAATTATGTTCTTAACGTCATTTTAATGAGACTACTTTTCGTTACAGGTACACAAAGATTTCTTTGGTAGAATCATTACAGTGAAACAAGATAAGCAAAAAGAATCAGACAAAGAATCAAATAATTCACGCAATTTTTTGAAGAAACATGGCATTTGGTATAAATATAAAGAAGGTTTTAGCAATGCTGTACGTCGCAAAATAAAAATGATAAGTCTTCTTTAAACTGTAACATGTTATATTTTCATAAAACATTAGCAATAAACTCATTTATTTTATTAGAAAAAAATTCATCACATATCAGTTATACATAACCAAATTCGAAATTCCCTCGCAAATAACATACTGGTCAGGTGAAGTACCATCTAGCACAGCCTCGTGCAGGATGATTGGACGCCGGATCAATTCTAACTCACAGAGAGTATTTTTATGGTACATTATATTTTTCAAAATTAATATTTTACTATTTTCATTTATTACAAATTTTACAATATTAGAAGTGTAATGTCACTGACTATTGTGTACTTTCCTTGACACATGCATACACAAGTGGCAGGGACTATCGTAGCAATACATGTGACCGGCACTGTCATAAAACGAACTCGACATATACATATATGTATGTAGTAATTGCAGGTTAGATTCACGTGAGAATTAACCAAATTTTACTGTGATAAACAGTATACCATCAAGTATCAACGATTTAAAATTACACGAGATTAAATATAAATATTGTACGTAACTTTAAAAAGTTCATTACTAACAATTACAACTACAATATTTGATACGTATAAACACCGTTAACATTGATTAATGCAATTTTAATGTATCGGCTAACCACGACCACATTCTATTAATTGCGTATAATTTTATATATCTGTCTTTTATTTTAGTAATACAAGGAATGGATGTACAAAGAAAGAAGAAGAATTATTACCAAAGTAATAGTAATAATAAAAAGAGGCGTAAACAATCCAGTCTAGAACCAGGTTTAGTGGGTTTTTTATGCACCTGTAATTTTCGTGAAAAAGATTGCATACGGGATGCATATGAATTACTTAATGAGTTTGCTGATGAAATTTATGGATCAGATATCCCAAAGGTATGATAAAATCAAAGAGTTATCGTTGATACATGAAAAAAATTTTTTTTATTTCAGGCCTCTAATAATGATAACACCAAAACTACTGTAGCAAAAGATGATTCTGTTAGTGATACAGAACAAGATGATGATGAAGATATCTCAGCCTTTTTGAATAAAGAAATCAATAGATTAAAGTCTGTACATAAAAGATTTCAGGTGAACTATAACAAATTTGAAAAATGTTTAGATTACAATACATTAATTAATGATAACATCATTTAAGGAAAATAATACATATTTGTGTTCTTTTTATTAGGTAGTTGATACTGGTGTAAAGAATGTAATTTTCATAAGGAGCACTTTGGCAAATCCTCTAGAAATAGTTACCAAAATTGTTACGGAATTAGATGAAACCAAACAGCAACGTACAAGATACATATTAAGATTGCTTCCCATTGAAATTGTGTGCAAAGCATATATGAATGATATAAAGCAAAAAGCAGATACAGTTCTTGAAAAGTATTTTGCACAAGAACCAAAAACTTTCAGTATTGTATTCAAGTATGTTTTTATTATTGAAGATTTTTTTTTATATAACGTCGCTCAGTCAAGAAAGAATGCATGACCTGTCCAAATTTTGCGATGTTACAAAAAAAAAATAATACAGTTTTTCTTGAGTTACAAGTGTACTGATGAAGTTTCATTGCAGTCACCACAGTAACCATAGTATACATAGAGAGGAAGTTATTAAAGACTTGGCTGAAATAATAAGCAAAAAAAACCCTGGAAATAAAGCAGATCTGAAGAACCCAGAACTTGCTGTAATTGTGGAAGTAATACGTGGTGTCTGTCTTATATCTATTGCCCCACATTACTACAAATTTAAGAAATATAATCTGGTGGAAATATGCAATGTCAAAGAACCTGGAAACAGTACAAAGGTAATAGCAAATAGTGACTTGTATTGAACATTATTTATTGTACTAATTTCGTAACGTGTGGTAAAATAATCATTATTTTCAGAAAATAAAAACTAATGAAAGTACAGAGTCAAACGACAAAGAAAAAAAATCAGAGGACAGTGAGGCATCAAAAGATATAGTTATTGACAATACCAAATAATTGATATAAAAATCAATAATTGATATAAAAATTTATCAATGTATAACCATGTAACAAATCTTACAGTAATAATAGTTGTATAATTCTATTTTTAAATTGTTAACGAGTTAAAATTTCTTTTATAATGAATTTATATTTTATATGCTAAGTAGTATTTTGTGATTTTATTTTATATAAAAGGAGCATCACTCACAAATGTAAAAACGTATGTAAAATATAGCTTCAATGTTAATACACGACTGCTGCAGTAGCATAAATTTATCATTATTTAACATACATCAAACGAGATATTTCATATTTTATTCTTATTTCATAAAGCACTTGATAGAGGAAATAATTTTATGTTTATTAATAGATATAATTTTACAACTTTTATCATTATTCAGTGCTCTCTTCAAATGAATTATATTAGATGAAATTTCACAAGGTTCCATGGTGTAATGGTTAGCACTCTGGACTCTGAATCCAGCGATCCGAGGTCAAATAGATGTGTATAAGAGACAGGCTCTCTTCAAATGAATTATATTAGATGAAATTTCACAAGGTTCCATGGTGTAATGGTTAGCACTCTGGACTCTGAATCCAGCGATCCGAGGTCAAATAGATGTGTATAAGAGACAGGCTCTCTTCAAATGAATTATATTAGATGAAATTTCACAAGGTTCCATGGTGTAATGGTTAGCACTCTGGACTCTGAATCCAGCGATCCGAGGTCAAATAGATGTGTATAAGAGACAGGCTCTCTTCAAATGAATTATATTAGATGAAATTTCACAAGGTTCCATGGTGTAATGGTTAGCACTCTGGACTCTGAATCCAGCGATCCGAGGTCAAATAGATGTGTATAAGAGACAGGCTCTCTTCAAATGAATTATATTAGATGAAATTTCACAAGGTTCCATGGTGTAATGGTTAGCACTCTGGACTCTGAATCCAGCGATCCGAGGTCAAATAGATGTGTATAAGAGACAGGCTCTCTTCAAATGAATTATATTAGATGAAATTTCACAAGGTTCCATGGTGTAATGGTTAGCACTCTGGACTCTGAATCCAGCGATCCGAGGTCAAATAGATGTGTATAAGAGACAGGCTCTCTTCAAATGAATTATATTAGATGAAATTTCACAAGGTTCCATGGTGTAATGGTTAGCACTCTGGACTCTGAATCCAGCGATCCGAGGTCAAATAGATGTGTATAAGAGACAGGCTCTCTTCAAATGAATTATATTAGATGAAATTTCACAAGGTTCCATGGTGTAATGGTTAGCACTCTGGACTCTGAATCCAGCGATCCGAGGTCAAATAGATGTGTATAAGAGACAGGCTCTCTTCAAATGAATTATATTAGATGAAATTTCACAAGGTTCCATGGTGTAATGGTTAGCACTCTGGACTCTGAATCCAGCGATCCGAGGTCAAATAGATGTGTATAAGAGACAGGCTCTCTTCAAATGAATTATATTAGATGAAATTTCACAAGGTTCCATGGTGTAATGGTTAGCACTCTGGACTCTGAATCCAGCGATCCGAGTTCAAATCTCGGTGGGACCTGTATTTTTTTTCGTTACTTAGATATTATCAATGTGTATTTAATAATACAGAGATCAAACAAGGTAAATGAAAAGTATAATTTTTAACTAAATAAAGATCATAAAATTAAATATTTTGTTAATAAAATACTTCAGACTGATACCTCATTATATAAAAGTCTGCTTAAAAATGAAATATGGAACTATATGTTGAAATGTTTATCAGAATTGCTTTAATCTAATGGTAAAAAATGGTAAGTTAATTTAATGGTAAATTTGTTAAGTTATTTTCTAAGAACACATCCAATACTCCATTTCCAATAACGGAATTGAGTAGGGTTTATGTCAGTTACAATGATACAGGCTTTATGCGCAACATGTGTACTACATACAAAGCATGTGAATAATTAATCAAAGGCGAATCACGGATCACGGATCTCTTGTCTCTGATCAAATATTCTATGACATAGGAATGTAAGGTTATGTACTTTCGTAGTCTGACATTAATTTTTTCAAAATTTTTATCCGAATCAGTGTTGAATCGTAATTTAAACGAGAAAAGCCAACATGTCAGGTAGAAAAAATGTCCAAGGAGGATTTCAGGCGGTGAGGTTCAAAAACATTTTTATCTTTTCATTCAAATTTGTTGAGCTAATGTTCCTTCTTAACTTCTATCGTATTTCAGGATTCTGACGTTTATATTACATACGATGATCAACAGAAAATTAATAAATTCGCAAGGCTAAATGTGAAATTACATTATTTTAAAACAGAATTGAAAATTAAGCAGGTACCAATGGATTTGTCAGTAGCAAATACTTCATATTACTTATAACCTTATTTGGTTATGCATAGCGTTGCATACACTAAACGAAATTATAATGCTTTCTGCAGAATGAGTTGAAAAATGTGGAAGATGCTAGTGACGAAATAGTCTTACTTGATGAAGACGTGAAAATACCTTATTATATCGGCGAAGTTTTTATTCATGAAGATTTGGAAAAAACACAGGTTTGTGAACTTCTAATATTTTCAGCTTTCTAATAAATGGAATTTATTTATAACTAAAAAGATGTATGTTGATAGGGCTACTTAGAAGATTTAAAAGACAAGAAAAAAACAGAAATTTCGAATTTGGAAAGCAAGTGTACTGACTTGGAGGGCATTATAAGTGACTTAAAAACTCAATTATATGCAAAGTTTGGTAGTCGTATAAATTTGGAAGCGGATGAAGATTGATCTAGTCAAGCATGCAAATGATCATTTCGTGATACGGAATAAGTTTTTTGTGCATCTATTCATTTATAAATTCTCTAATTCACAAATTTGAAACTGCATTTTATTATCCACAATTTGTATAGGTAAACAATTTCACATTTCACTTATATGTACGATCATGAATGTTTGCACATATTAATTGTTATTATGTGGTAAACTATTAATAAATTTATTACAATCTTTTTATATAGTTTTTATTATTGTTCTTCTACCTTCCTAAAATATAAATTTTACTAGAAGATAATGATAGAAAAAGTAAATAACAATCATATAAGATACTCAGTAAATAAAATAGATATGTCTTATATTTTAGGAATTGATTAACTATTTCTTCTGTAATGGTTAGTCAGTAAACTATCACAATGGCATACGTATTTGTTTGATTAAAGGTTGAATTCAAGATAGTAGTAACGGTAACCTGAAATTTGGATGACTGCCAAATTGTTGTCATTACAAAGTGCTCATGCAACATGACTGAAAAACTATCTCCTCGTTCTATATTTGTGGAATATTTTTAAATTTCACGTATTATGATCTACTCTAATATTGCAATCTCATATTTAAAGCAATTTTTTAATCAAATGATATTTATAATCCTTGCAAAGCGTATTCAACAAGTAGGGAAATATGGATTTTAAAAAGTAGTCAAAATATAATAAATCATCAAATCTTAACTATATGTTGAAACGTATAGCAATATATTTGTATACCTATAATATTCAATATATTGCTATAATATGAAAATGACTAAAACTAAAGTTATTTATAACAAAATATGTAAAGAAAAACTAAAATGTTGAATTTTATATCCGTTATATCACTAATTTATCGCTTTAACGAATGATTTAGAACTTGGTTACACAGTCATACAGTTTCTGCCTTCCCTCTATCATCTGACTTGAGGTAATTTTAGTTTCACCTCTCAGTTTTGCTTCTGCCAGTACATAGTTCACTACAGTCCAATCAGTAGATGCTTATATTCTGTAGGAGAAGTTCGTGAATAATTATTTTATCCTCGGATAATAAAAATACTTAATATACATCAATAAACGGGAACATATACTAATCAATTGTGGTAAATTCTATTTTTTATGTACACGTTTATTCAATTCTTCAATTGAGAGAAACAAATGTAACAAATTTTTTGTTAAGCATCTATTCTGATAAAACAGCAAACATGGATATGGACACAGCAAGAAAACTAGTACTGACTTTAAAACAAAGCCACACATCCCATGGTGGATATGGTTTGCAAAATGAGTGTGAAGCACTTGTTGGTCATATTTTGGAGAACATGTTGAAATCGTCACTACCCACTTTAGTTCCTGAAACGAAAAACGAAGAAGATTCTATTAGTTATAGAGAAGAAGGTAGTAAAATATTTCTTCACGAATATAGAAATTCAATTTTGATATTGTAATAAACTATAAATTTTATAGGAAATCAACATTTTGTGATGGGTGATGATACTGAAGCCATAAAGTATTATACAATGAGTCTAGCGTATGCAAATACTAAAGAACTTATGTCTCATGCCCATGCTAACAGATCAGCAGCTTTATACAGAAAACAACTGTTCAAAGAGTGTTTGATAGATATTGATACTGCTTTGGATTTTGGATACCCAGAAGAAAAAAGGAAGAAGCTGAAGGAAAGAGGGGTGAAAGCTATGGACGAAATTAGAAAGAAATTGAAAATCGCGAAGGATGATCCCATTGATCCAGAAAAATTAATGAGCATGTGTTTGTCAGAAAAAATTGTAGACGAACCTGTAACTGTAAAATTCAAAAATGGAAAAGCTGAGAATCAAGATAAATCTATAAATGGGCATATTAATGGAAATGAGGAAGATCCAGTTAATGGTTCTACTGTTCCACCAAGTAAAGAAAAAGAACCAAGATATTTAGCAGATGAAGGTCCTTTAAAGTTCACTAATGGTCCTAGTAAAGAAGCTCCTGCTGTTAGCGACGGCGTCAAAATTTCTTATAATGAAAGATATGGACGTCATTTGGAGGCTACTAAAGAATTTAAACCTGGCGATGTTGTTTCTTTCGAAGATCCATATGCGCATATTATTTATACGCAAAAGTAAAACATTTCTTTATAATATAATGTTATAAAATTAAAAATTAATACCAATTTTAATAATAATTTTTCTTCAGTCACATTAATTTGTAAATACAGTTATAATTACAGTTTTGTGTTTGCAGATATTATACGCATTGTCATCATTGCCTGTCAAGAAGCTACAATTTAATTTCATGTCCAAATTGTCCAATGTCTGTATATTGCTCAGAAAAATGTAGATCAATAGCTTGGGATATAGCACATGAATTTGAGTGTCCAATTCTATCAGTTCTAGGAAGCTTGTTCAATGTTGACAAAGATAAAGTGCGAATGCTTACCAAAATTGTTCGTTTTCTGATTGTAGTAACAGCAAAAGGCAAAAGGATCGCAGAGTTGCGCGAAGACATGAAAGTAGCAGAGCGTAATCCAGGTAAATAAGAGGTTTCATATTTTACAGCTAAAATGAAAAATATAAAGACACATAAGTCATGCTTAAAAGACATAAGAAATCGTAGGAAACTATATTGAATTATAACATACTGTGCAAGTATATATTTTATAAAATATTTCATTTTTGTAGATGATAGAACTGCAGGGTTTACAGATGAAGGTATATTTGACAGCTACAGTGCACGATCTGCTTTAAGCCTCGCAACCAACATGACAACAAGACCACTTATTGGAATCAGTGCATTTGCCTGCATCTCAGCCCTTGCCTCTATCCTCCTAGCCACAGAGACTAATTTCTTCTGCAAGAAATACGAAATGGTTCAATTAAATGACATTAATAATGTGCCCGAGCTAAAATTCTGTGGCAGCCTCATGTTTCGTGCCTGTGTCATAATGTCTTCTAATTGCTTCACAGTAATTTATTTCACAAATATGTTAAAACATAAAATACAATTCATAATACTGATAAATAATTTAATAGAACAAAAGATGAAAATATAATACATTAATTGAGTTACAGTTTCTAAAACTTATTTTCCAGATACAACAAGAGCCAGGAATTAAAGCCGGTTCTGGGTTGTACGTAACACATAGCTTGTACAATCATTCATGTGCACCAAACACTTTCCGTCATTTTGAAGGATTGACAATGATTACTCGTGCTCTGGAACCAATATATCCTGGAGATCAGATATTCACTGGCTATGGTGCTGCATATGCACATATGCCAAGATCTGAAAGAAGAGAAAAAATAATGCAGGACTATTTCTTCGAGTGCAATTGTTCTGCCTGTGAGTCTGACTGGCCAATGTATAACGAAATTCTTGCAAACCACGTTGGTTCCATCAGCAAGAACAAAGAACTCGTAGAGAAACTGAAACCATACAAACAGAGATTGGTGAAGAACATGTACGACATTGATGCTGTGAAATCTGTTCTCTGCATTCTATACAAGGAAGTATCTCAACCTTGTGAGGAAATAGTGCACGCAGAACAATACCTGAAGAGTTATTATTTAGGTAGATTTAATCACATGTCCACATAATACGTATTTACGCCTATTTATGCTGATATAGCTTTGCTTACCTGCTGATATTTAATATTATGCTTACTTACATCCTGCAAACCACATTTAATAATATTAGGTATATTTCACTTTGTGCACTGATTTGTTTTGTCGCCTGATAACATAATGGAGCTACCTTGGTGCTTAAAGCTTATAGCGCTTTGTAATATGAATGTAAAAATTATATAGTTTGTTGCAAAGGTATGTAAAAAATTAATATAATAAGTGTCCGAAACAGAAGTTGGATTCAATTGACATATGTTTTCTTGTTTTTAGATCCATGAGAGCAAGGCATCAACATTTTACTAAGTTGTTAATAAAAGACATAAAGTATTCCTAAAAACATTTTATTGAAGTTATACATGATGTTCGTCTAATTTTTGAAATAAAGAATGTGCAAAACTTTCTTCATGTAATACATTTGTATGAATAAACTGATTGAAAGTTATGTAATAATACAAGATTCATGTAACATATTCAATTTCTTCTCTTTACTCTCT